AACCAACCAACCATTACATGCTTGTTGTGGTCCCTTGTGTTTAATACAGGTCCAAGATCTCATTTGTTTCGTGTTTGCTTGTTTCAAGCGACCCTATCTCACGTGTGTAATAAGTCAATCAATCAATCAATCAATCAATCAATCCATCCATCCATCCATCCAGCAATTAATCAATCAATCAATCAATCAATCATGTTTCGGAGGGGAAAGACTGTTAACAATTGTTTTTAAAACAATTGATTTATATTTATTATTATTAGGTCTTTCCACTTTTCTGTGGAAAGACCTATTGTTTTTCTTCTGATTATTATTATTATTATTATTTTTTTCTTCTTCCGCCACTTTTTTCTGACGGTGCTTTTTTGTTTCACAAGATGTCTCTTAGATATTTTGCGTATGATATCGAACAATTATTACGATTTTAAAACTGACCCTGTTAAGCCGAACACTTTTTATTGTAAGAGTTATCTCCCCAAACACTGTTTTTCTTGTGTACAAAACTCCTTCGCAACCGTTAAAGATTACGACAAAATTATTTCACCAATTTACTGGTTATATCCTAAGGATCTTAAAAATAATTTTGAGCGAAGCGGTCCGGACACTCCATATGAGAGTTATTTCCCCTTATGTATTTAAAATAATTAAAATGTAAATGTAATTGGTAAACCATAATTGATAGAGACCTAGGGTCTTTTGATTTGAGGTCCTTGGTCCAAACAAAAGAAAATAGGGTCAAGGTCAAAGGTCAATGTCATTTCTTAATTATGATTTTGGCTTATTTTTACCCATTTGCAAACATCATATTAGATATCAACAACATATTTTTACTTAATTGTTAGTTGCGACATGTAGTAACACATACATATTGGTTTAAAGGGTACGCTAACATTAAATTAGAGTTTCCTCCCCTCTTTTATTTAAAAATATGCGTATGGTGATATAACTCATCAACCAAATATAATTAAGACTTAGGGTCTTTTGATTTGAGGTCGTTGGTTTATAACCTTGAAATTGAGCTCAAGGTCATATGTTAATTTGACGTTCTAGATATTGACCTTTGCTTTTACCGCATATGTTTGCATGATCAAGCTAGGGATTTTTTACTTTAAGTTGCAAGCCTTGAAATAGGAACAGGAAGTGACCTTGTGTAAACCGGAAGTAGCTATTTTTTGTACTTTTTGAATGTAAAAGTATATAGAACAATATATTTTTGGAAACAGTGGCAATTAAACAGTAAAATGTAACTTTTTTCAAACCGGAAGTATTTAATTATCTACTTTATTTAAAAAAATATTGCATAGAAACCATATATCTTTGGAATCAGCGTACTATAAGCCTTTTTGCATTAGGTTGCAAGCCATTTGACCTTGAAAATTCCAACCTGAAGTGACCTTGTGTAAACCGGAAGTAGCTATTTTTTGTACTTATTTAATATAAAAGTATATAGAACCATTAATTTTTGGAATCAGTGTCAAGTAAACATTCAAATTATACCGAAAGTAACATTTTTCAAACTGGAAGTAACAAATTATCATCCCTTATTTAAAAAAAAATGTATAGAAACCATATTTTTTTGGAATCAGCGTACAATAAGCTATCATTTGACGCTGGAAATGACATTTTAAACCGAATTTTAATATTTTTATATCAAAATAGATCTTTATGGGTGGAAAGACCTTCAATTTTTAATTTCAATTACTATGCTTTTACATAGGTTCCACTTAGAATTACTAATAATATTTTAAAAGATTTTCAATTATGTTTCAAGCAAAAACAAAAATTCAATATTTCAAAAATAATTGAGAATGGAAACAAGGAATTTGTCATAGAGACATCAAAGATCAGAAAACAGCACAAGGCCACCAGTGGGTTTTCAACGCATTCACAAAATCATGCAACCAGAGGCCGGCTTCAGCTGGCCCTTAACAATAAGGTACAATGTATACTTCAATGGTGAAATTAATAATTATATATCTACAAACAGGTCTTTAAGATCTTGAAATAATTTACGCATAAGTGACAATTTGCATTATTGGTTCTTTTGTTATATAGACATATAGAGTGGAAAACCTTGTTTGTCATTTTAGCTTTTTATTCATTACAGGTTGTATATTGCAACAGCAAAAAAGGACACAAATTTCATAAAAGACTACGAAAATATGACCTTACACTGCAAGAATTTGAAGATGATTTGAAGAGTGGAGATCTAAAAATAATGTAGGTCAATGTGTTTTTATAAGATAGATTAATTTAAAAAAAAAAAAGAGTTCACTGGATACATTTATGCTCTTCATTAAAAAACGGATGTTTTGACATATTTTACTCAAAGTAAACTAGTTTTATCAAAACTTACTAATACTTCTAAATTTAAATTTTAATTACAATGAATAATACAATTGCACAGAATTAGGGTGAACCTATTTAATCTATCCAAATTAGATAAAAATAAACAGCGGCGCCATGAGCGCATGATACGCCCTTCGTCTTGTGTGTGAATTTTTATGCAATAAGCATAAATAGTTTCTGACATACGGCGTGACATGCGAAAACCCCCTTTTTTTTTACAAAAAACTCAATATCTCTAAAATAAAATTTGAATAAAAACCAAAAAGTATACAGATCTTTAGATTAATATAACTAAGAAGTGTGTAAAATTTTAAGCAATAATCATAAATCGTTTTTGAGATACGGTGTGACATGTGAAAAACCCCTCCCCCTTTTTTTACAAAATACTCAATAACTCAAAAATAAAATTTTGAATCATCACCAAAAAGTATACAGATCTTAAGGTTAATATAACTAAGAAGTGTGTAAAGTTTTAAGCAATAATCATAAACTGTTTTTGAGATACGGCGCGACATGTGAAAAACCCCTCCCCCTTTTTTAACAAAATACTCAATATCTCTAAAATAAAATTTTGAATCATCGCCAAAAAGTATACAGATCTTAAGATTAATATAACTAAGAAGTGTGTAAAGTTTTAAGCAATAATCATAAATTGTTTTTGAGATACGGCGCGACATGTGAAAAAAAACACACACCTGTTTTAGTTACTAAGTCCCGTAACTCAAAAAGTTTTAATCTTATTTTCACCAAAAAGTATACAGATCGTTTGACCATCATAAGAAACAACTATGTTAAGTTTCATGAAATTTGGATAAGTCATTCTCAAGTTACGGTGCCACATGTTTACGCCGGACAGACAGACGGACAGACAGACGGACGGACGCCGGACATTTGTATACCATAATACGTCCAGTCAAAAATTTGACGGGCGTATAAAAAATCAGTTCTTGTAATTGTCAAATGATAAATTTTTTTTTTTTTTAATTATAGTATACAAAACTATTTACTATAATTGTAACCTACCATTCATAGTTGATTTTATATATTCTTATTTTCAGAAACTAATTTCAAGAAACAGACTACAGAAGAAAAGTGCCATTTCATTACATGTGAGCAACCAAAAATAAACTTGAGTTACCTCTCTTTGATTAAACACTTTTAATGGAAAATGCCTATCTTATCAGATTTTGAAAAGGTTAATACTTCATTTAAAATTGCCAACCAATGAAATTGCTAGGTTTTTTTTAGACAGGTGAAGGTCATCAGATATTGAATTTTTGAAGGAAACACATAGGTATTGGACTTTGATTTTTTTCCTGACATAGCTACCTATTTTCTTACGTGAATTCTAGGAGGAACCCAATTTCTAATTCATTAAATATTTAATTTCCTTTAGGTCAGTGGGCATGACTCCTTTCCATACACATTCCTCTATTTAAATTGCCATCGCTTTTAATATAATTCGACGTCTATTGACAGAACGGGTTAATTTTTTCTCGATATATATCGTCATATTTTGATTCTAGGTTGCAGTCTTGTAATTGATTGCTCCATAGGCTTACATGCAAAACAGCTGATCTTCAAAAAATTTTTATTCAAAAATGCTACATAGAAAATTTTTTTTGTGTACAGATCATGCATTTAGTAATGTTATACTATGACTTCATGCAAAAATAAAATGCTTCGCTGGGCGCAGCTTGATACGAGGGGGCAAGTATGGACACAACATTCAAGCTTGATACAGCTCTGAATTTGGATTGTGATTAAATATTTGACACAGCATAGGTTTCTGACACAGAAAGAATGTGGTCTAAGAACTTGAATTTTTTTAATTTACCTATTATGGTCCAATGTCCAAAATCAAAATACATGGTTAGATTCAGCATATCAAAGAACCCCATATATTCAATTTTTGTTGAAATCAAACAAAGTTTAATTTTGGACCCCAACTTGGACAAACTTGAAAACTGGGCCCATAATCAAAAATCTTAACAGATGATTAGATTCAGCATATCAAAGAACCCCAAGAATTCAATTTTTGTTAAAATCAAACTAAGTTTAATTTTGGACCCTTTGGACCTTAATGTAGACCAATTTAAAAAACGGGACCCAAAATTAAAATCTAAATACACGGTTAGATTTGGAATATCAAAGAACCCCAATAATTCAATTTTTGATGAAATCAAACAAAGTTTAATTTTGGACCCTTTTGACCTCAATATGAACCAATTTGATAGCGGGGCCCACAAATAAAAAATCTAGATATGGTTAGATTCAGCATATCAAAGAACCCCATATATTCAATTTTTGTTGAAATCAAACAAAGTTTAATTTTGGACCCCAACTTGGACCAACTTGAAAACTGGGCCCATAATCAAAAATCTAAACACATGTTCAGATTCAGCATATCAAAGAACCCAAGAATTCAATTTTTGTTAAAATCAAACTAAGTTTAATTTTGGACCCTTTGGACCTTAATGTAGACCAATTTAAAAAACAGGACCCAAATTAAAAATCTAAAAACATGGTTAGATTTGGCATATCAAAGAACCCCAATAATTCAATTTTTGATGAAACAAACAAAGTTTAATTTTGGACCCTTTTGACCTCAATATGAACCAATTTGATAGCGGGGCCCACAAATAAAAAATCTAAATACATGGTTAGGTTCAGCATATCAAAGAACCCCATATATTCAATTTTTGTTGAAATCAAACAAAGTTTAATTTTGGACCCCAATTTGGACCAACTTGAAAACTGGGCCAAAAATCTAAAATCTAAATACATGTTTAGATTCAGCATATCAAAGAACCCCATATATTCAATTTTTGTTGAAATCAAACAAAGTTTAATTTTGGACCCCAACTTGGACCAACTTGAAAACTGGGCCCATAATCAAAATTCTAAACACCTGTTTAGATTCAGCATATCAAAGAACCCCAAGAATTCATTTTTTGTTAAAATCAAACTAAGTTTAATTTTGGACCCTTCGGACCTTAATGAAGACCAATTTAAAAAACAGGACCCAAAATTAAAAATCTAAATACATGGTTAGATTTGGCATATCAAAGAACCCCAAGAATTCAATTTTTGTTAAAATCAAACTAAGTTTAATTTTGGACCCTTTGGACCTTAATGTAGACCAATTTAAAAAACGGGACCCAAATTAAAAATCTAAAAACACAGTTAGATGTGGTATATCAAAGAACCCCAATAATTCAATTTTTGATGAAACAAACAAAGTTTAATTTTGGACCCTTTTGACCTCAATATGAACCAATTTGATAGCGGGGCCCACAAATAAAAAATCTAAATACATGGTTAGGTTCAGCATATCAAAGAACCCCATATATTCAATTTTTGTTGAAATCAAACAAAGTTTAATTTTGGACCCCAACTTGGACCAACTTGAAAACTGGGCCCATAATCAAAAATCTAAACACATGTTTAGATTCAGCATATCAAAGAACCCCAAGAATTCAATTTTTGTTAAAATCAAACTAAGTTTAATTTTGGACCCTTTGGACCTTAATGAAGACCAATTTAAAAAACAGGACCCAAAATTAAAAATCTAAATACATGGTTAGATTTGGCATATCAAAGAACCCCAATAATTCAATTTTTGATGAAATCAAACGAAGTTTAATTTTGGACCCTTTTGACCTCAATATGAACCAATTTGATAGCGGGGTCCACAAATAAAAAATCTAAATACATGGTTAGATTCAGCATATCAAAGAACATCATATATTCAATTTTTGTTGAAATCAAACAAAGTTTAATTTTGGACCCCAACTTGGACCAACTTGAAAACTGGGCCAAAAATCAAAAAATCGAAATACATGTTTAGATTCAGCATATCAAAGAACCCCATATATTCAATTTTTGTTAAAATCAAACAAAGTTTAATTTTGGACGCTTTGGACCTTAATGTAGACCAATTTGAAAACTGGACCCAAAATTAAAAATCTAAATACACGGTTAGGTTCGGCATAACAAATAAATAAATGTGGTCAAAGATTTTACAAATCTAATGCGCCATACTGTGCAATTAAAGATTACTTCTTGAAATTTTTCAATATTTGAAATTTGAAAAAAAAATAATATTTGAAGAATAATTCTTTTTAATTTCTGAAATCTGAAATGAGAAAAAATTTAACCCCCACAATTTCTTTTTACCCCCCCCCCCCCCTTTTTTCCCCCAAAAAATTCTTTTCCTCAAGATATGGTCACAATCTCAATTCAAATTTCCAATGGAGTTTGCAACCATAATTACCCATTTAAATTTACCATAGTGCTAACTTAATCTATTTTGTAATAGAATTTAAAATATAGTGTCAAATCTTTCATATGGATTTTTTTGTAAATAAAAAAGATGCAATATTTGCAGATATTTTTACTGGTCTTCCTTTATAAATATGCATTTCTTTAAACATAATTTAAAAGCAGTGTAAGGGAGGTAACCAAAATGTTGTATTTGGATTACCTCCCTTACACTGTTTTAAATTATCTTAATTGTTCATTAACCATTACTTTATACGTAATTTAAAAGCAGTGTAAGGGAGGTAATTTCAATGATGTATTTGATTTATCTCCCTTACACTGCTTTAAATTATGTTTTGTACTAAAGTATTTGTCCATTAACCAGGACAACCTTGTTTTTCCCCCTTTTTTGCCCCTAATTCCTAAAACGGTTTGAGCCATAACCCCCCAAAGCAAATCCTAACCATCCCTTTGTGGTATGGAAACTTGTAGTATAATTTCAGAGAGATCCATACACCATTCCACAGTTATTATCTGGAAACTAGAAAATGCTTATTTTTGGCCCCTTTTTGGCCCCTAATTCCTTAACTGTTGGTACCATAACCCCCAAAATCAATCCCAACCTTCCTTTTGTGGTATTTAACCTTATGGTAAAATTTCAAAGAGATCCATTCACTTAAACTAAAGTTAGAGTGCGAAAACCAATGTGTCTTCGGATGACGATGACGACGCCGACGCCAACGTCATACCAATATACGACCGCAAAAATTTTCTCTTGCAAGTGAATAATTCATCAGCCAAGTTTGATAGCTTATTTTGACAATATTGAACAAAACTGGCTGCTGGAAGCTAATTATTTACTGGAGACATTATAAAAATCTTCATTTGTTGTCAAATCCAGTGACTTGCTCCAACATAGCTTAAATATTTCTGGGGGTGAAAATGTTGTGAAAACATGAGAATTTTATTTCAATTTTCCTTTTGTGGGTTCCCATGCGAAATTAGATGAATAGGTATCAACAGTTGCCTTCAGTATGCCATGGATTTGGCCATTTCAGGACCAAAAATTATTCAGGAATAAATTACAGTGGTATATCCTTTTCTTTGATTCCCTATAAAGCCAAATTTTGTTCAAATCTATTTCTTTTGAAACTCTTGTGAACATTTGACTGTGTACTCTTAAGATAACTTTTGCGCAAGACATTTTATTCAGGCTGCATCAACATAAAATGCATAATTTTCAGGGATTTTGTGATTATGAATATTTTGAAGAAACCATGCATGGTTGGTTGTATGCTCTATTTTTCAACACATTGCTATGTATTTTAAACAACATACACCAAGTTCCAAAATGAATCACATTTCCTAATTAAATATAAATCATTGCACAGAAATTTACCAATGAAAAATAATATTTTGTTCATTTGCATGTCCATGTAAACAAGGGTATAAATCAAGGTAATCAATTAGAATTAAACTTGTATCTTTGGTCACTAATGTTTATAACTTCACAAGATAACAATTTTCAGTGGGATAGAAAACTGAAATCAAAATACAACTGACCAGTGACATTTCTGAAATATAAGAGTTAAGTACCCTGTGTTAGATTAAAGTATATAGGTTTTTTTCTTCAGAGACATAGTGCACATGTCCAATAGGCCTGGTGCAAATAATTGATAACAGATAGTTGCATATATTTTTGCTTTTGCATATATTGCTGTGCTTTTCATATTGGCACATATCATTCAAAGCAATAGCACTGCTAACATTGATGACAAGACTATGGATTTCCTATAAGAGTTTGTAAAGAATTATCACCAGCTGTACAGCTTAACCTCAGGAAACAATATGCAATTGGTTCTGAATTATTTCAGGTGGAGTAATACTTGCAAAGTAAATTCACGATAAGTGTCCTAGATAACTTTGAAATCTATATCCCTTTTGTTTTGAAATGCAGAAATTTCCTTATTTTTTTTGGGAATGTCATTGAGTGTACTAAGGCTGATCATGATAAGGAAAAAACAATGAAAGGGGGGGGGGCCTTCACAACAATACCTCCTTTTGGTACTTCTTCTTCTTCACTGTCTAGGATGATACAGCTGCCTCCATGTTGTACACTATCTACATCTAAAACAAACAAGCATAAAAATCTTGAGGTTCAATGAAGCATGTACCGGTACCACTCATCTGGATACAGGTATATATGATGGACAATTAATGGCCTTCACAATATAATGAACATTCATTTACTCTACTGAGTATGGTGTCAATGTCTGGATAACATGACTTGTAAACATTTCTTTGCCTCTAATAAAAAATGAATAAATATCTGCTGGATCCAATTGATCATTGACATTAGTCCTCTACAATTCTGTGAAACCCTTAATATCAAAGACAATTTAACATTTAAAATCTAAATGATCTGCATGTTTCTTAATCAGGAAATAAAAAAGAAAAATTTGTTGTTAGTTTGCACTAAGGTTGTTTGAAATAAGGAGATTGCTTCAAATGAATACCTCCTTCGATTGTTCTTTTTTTTTACAGTCTACATCCTAATCTCAAAAATAAGAAGTTACATGCAGGCTCCATAAAATTCATTTCAGATTTAATTTTTGGTAAAAGAACAAAATTATATTGCAGAACTTGGCCACGCAGGTAGAAAGAAATTTACAGACATAGCTCCAAATATATACAGTCATGGGTCACTTTGGGCAAACCACATTTTTTATGGTTTGCCTAATCGTCACAGTATTAGCAGTAAATTGATAATGTGCACACAATGTTCATCAATTATTTTAATTGGACCTTATTCCTAATTGAAGGCAGAATTATACAATGCACTATGGCTAACCATTTTTATACATATACCAGAAATACAATGCTATTTACCATCTGTGGTTTTCACGTCAGATTGTTGGTCTGTTTGATGTCTTCTCTCTATTTCCTGCATTAAAAATTTATGGTCAGAATGTTAGAACTTTATTATATGAAGGCATACAAGCACAGCAGATCCAACATTTCCTCTCTTCCATCTTCAGCTTTGGCTTACTTTTATTACTAAGCCAAACATATATGCCGCTGACCATGGAATTTTCTTCCAAAGAGTCCATATACCGTTCACACATTTGATAAATGGAAGCAAATGTGGTACTGAATGTTGAAAGAGGATTTCTTCAAAAGAACTCCTATGACACTAATAAAATTTTCTTCAAACATACATCAGGATTTTAAATATTTCTTCACCTAATGTTATATTATTTAATTTCATCCCTTCAAAACAACATGATAATTTGAGTGTGAATATGAAAATAATTCAACTACAACAATTCAATAAAAATTCTGAAAAATATTTTTAATGCGTATAATTATGAAGTATTAAGCTAATTAAGTGTTTAAAAGTCCCAAATGGGTTCAAGGTATTGCATTTGAACTGTAGTAATATAAATACCTGACATGAAATGCAAGTAAAACGTTGAGGGGGTTCTGTGCCTGAAAATCCAAGACATTGAGGATGAAACCACTCCCAACATTTTTCACACTGCCAATACAGCTTCCCGTCATTCTTTTTCTTACATATACAATATGTTCTCTTTCCAGACGAAAAATCAAAACATGAATCTCTTCTCTACAAAAAAAGAAACATTTTACAGCTAATGGTTAATGATCTTAACATATTTTACACCGACATAAACACTGTTCAAATACCTTGATAATTCCTTACTTTTATTTGTTATCCTGTCTCAAAACTTACCAGACTTTTGCCAATGTCCTACAGTCAGTAAATAGAAAATTTTGAGTTACACAAGACTGAAGATAAGTCAGATGGAATATAAAAGTTAACATAAATAAAAAGGGAAATATTACAACATTAAAACATGAGATTCAAGAAAAACTGACATAAGCGATTGACCATCATTGTATTTTTCAGCCAAACTGTATGTTTGTTTCTCTGTCTTTAATTCATAAAACTATGCACTCTACTTTACAAACTTATAACTGATCATGTGTATAAATGGGTGTTGACATGAAACATGGAAGTTATAAAGCTGTTAAACACAGAAAGGGATATGGCTACACTTTACGGTTCTATATTTAGAAACTGCCGGCAGTGTAGGTTTCAAAAGACTTGAAAGCCTTCTTCAACCAATGAAATGATTCTTTACAGACATCATTGACAAATTCACATAATAATTTTTGTTCGATTGAAGTGAAATACATCCAAATCTTACTTCACTTACTCTTTTCTTAGTTGTTCTCAAGTGATAGTGCTTTGAAGAAGGAACTTTATCTGTATCTTTTTCATCATTTGAGGATGATATGCTGGCTGATACAGGTGCAGCTACATTTTCTCTATCAGAATTAGAGGTTGCTGCTGACAATTGTGCAGTTCCTTCAATAATAGAAAATAACTTGTTTCAAACAAGAACACTTCTTCAATTTTCTGAAATTTCAAATTTGGTAAGTAACAAAACTAGAGGCTGTTAACAGCATGGGTCGCTCATCTTTATCTACAACAACGGGCACTTTTTTTTTTTATAAAAATCATCATTAAAGGGGAATAACTATTAAGAATTAACTGACAATTTCAGTCATGTTCCCATATTTGTAGATCTTATTCAGCTGATAATTTTTCATTTTTTAAAGTTTATATTCATCTACCATAGTTTTAATAAGCAAAAATGAAAAAAATTGTTAAATATTATCATTTAAGGGCAATAACTCAAATAACAGGTTGACTGAAGATTTCAGTCTTAATTACTTACAAGTGGAACTTGTCTTGCTGATCATTTGTGCTATTTCAAGTTTCTATCTATCTATTAAAGTTTTAAAGATAAAAGGCAAAAACTGGAAAAATTGTCATTTAAGGGCAATAACTTCAATAAGGAAACGACTAA